ACGGACTGTTTGCGTGCATGAGGGTGGTTCGAAGGAACTGAGGCAGAACGTGCAAGAGGAGATGATACTCGTGGAGAAGTAGGGGCTACAGATCGTCAATGTCAACGTTAGTATACACAATAAATTCAATTGGTTGTACTCACAGGGATAGGCAGACTCCTGAACCTTCAAATTCCTTACTGGCGACTTTCCCTTCCCATTCGAATCCAGGTCTACATCCGTATCTCCTTCCTGTGAAGTCAAATCCCTCGGAGAAAGGTCGACAGATAGACTCTTGAGCAGCCCAACTCTCTTATTCACAGGTTGTCCCTGTATTTGTGCTCCTCCGACACCTTTCCCTTTTCCGATCAAGTTCTTCCTAGTCAACACAGAACCCTCTCCATTTCTGGCTCCAATACTTCCCCCTCTTTGTCTATTGAACGCAGGTAAAGCAGTTCTTATACCTGGACTTGTTGGAGGTCTAGCAATCGGAACTGAACTTATTGAGTGCGCGCCACGTTTGTGAATGTGAGTTGCAGAACTAGAGGCAGAGCGAGGTACAATGGCTTCAGGAGTGCGTGTATTGGTTATCGATATGGTTACTGTGAATGGTTCTCCAGCGAAGTAAGATGCTTGAGATGGAGTTACTATGACATGAATTGCATCGTCAACATTTGCAGATGCGCTAGACGAAGCGGGTAGGCGAGACATGATTGGACGTTGCTTATTGGAGGTTTATAGGTTGGAGAGAGTTGGAGAGTTTGGAAGGATGCAGCGAGTATATGTTATGTTATCCAAGAACTTGAAGTGAGTTTGCGTGCTGACGTGTTATGAGTATAAATCAAAGTGAATAAGGATACCACAGTGTGAACGTTTGAGGGAGAACTGAGACCGGTAATACGGGTACAATAAAGATATGGTTTCCTGGAGAGCTTCTAGCTCAGTCTTTTCTGAAAACAAGAATAACGCGAAGGAGTTGGTTGAATGTTGAGAGGGTATCAAAGCATTCTCTGGCAGATGTTTGAGGACTAGCTCATGACGATAGCGAGCTACTTTTGATGATGATATCACATGGCCTACTCGGCTCAGTGTGATTGGTCGCGTAAAAACGCTAATCCCATACGTTCAAGCAATTGCAACCTCAATAAAAGGCTCAAAGATGTGATACAATGTAACAGCGAGACTACTGTTCCTAGAAGTTGCACAACACAAATATCACCCAAGCCATTATTGTCTTGTGAACTCTTGCTGCATCGAACTCAACTCCCAATCACCAGCAAGACCGAAACATTCTCAAAAATGCCTTGCAATATACCGGTCAACTCGTCGACGAGCCATTTCATCATCGAAGGCATCAGCCTCGGAACCATAATAGCCCAATCTTTCAAGAGCATCTTCAGCCGGTGGACTTGCAACACGACGAGGATGTGACACGTTTGAATCATCCACATTATCCATGTCGTATAAATTTTCATAGTTTGGTCCATATTCGCTCCAATCGTCCCAAGGAATAGGCGACTCTGTGGTCTTTCGACTTTGACGTTTGTGGTTTTCTTGGGTCTCCGTTTCTTCTTCTTCATCCTCTTCTTCATCGTCCACACTGACCTCACTACCTTCGGCATCTTCATCTTCATCCTCTTCGTCTTCAAACTCTTCCTTGTTGCTGCTCAATACTTGAAGGATATTCTCGAATTGAACTGTTTCGGACTCCGTTTCAGACGAAGATACTTTGAACCGTTTGTTTGAAGAAGATTCTCCTACGCATACATCAAGTTCCTGGTTCTGAAGCAACATATTGGGGACTCAGTGGACCCCGGTAAGAATTTTTCAAGCACTCACCTTCTCTCCATCACACTCAGCACGAGATCTTTTTTGGCCGCCAGTGATAGGAACCTCAATAGGACGTGTTACCGAAGACAGTGATGCAGGTTGTCTTGAAACTACAAGATCCGTCCTAATCACAGCGATAGACGAACTCATTTTTGCGAGCGAGACTCTCGAGTTTGTTTATGATAGTGAGAGAGTGGGTCAATTGAAAGGGTGGCTTGAACGATTTCGTGGCAGTTGTTAAAACATAGAGCAATAAGGGTTTAAGTAAGTCCTATTCTGCGGAAGTTATAATAAATACGATAGGAGTAATTAGAGGAGGTGCACCGGAATTAAACCTTGTGAGTGTCGTTTGGATAGGACACATCATTTCGCCATGATATTGCGATTTTCTGGATGCGTCGGAAGCAGGTGTCTAGGTCGAGAACGTCGAGTAATGATTCATATACACGTCTCTGAATGGAATCTGCTGATAAGTAGAGTAGTAATTCTGCACGGAGGGAGTTGGATCTTTCGGGTAGATTTTTATACAATAATTCATCTTACGATCATCGAAACGAAACCTGAAGCTTTTCAGAGAAGGAGGAAGAGTATATTTTTAGCACCAGTAGGGTGTTACGATGGAAGTCAAGCAAATTTAAGTTGTATTGTTCCTGGAATCTCATAACTCAAAGCCAAACAAAGCACAACAACGCGATCACGTTCAGCACTTTCGCCTCACGTGTCTACGCTCCTTTTTTTGAATCGACACTTTTATATACCGCGTAAAATACCTGCATGAACGGTGGCATCTCCGGGTATTTATGCCTTAGAGATCGTAGAGTAACATATCCGTCTGGTCCTTTCGGGAGGGACCACACTCTATCACCACTATTTGCCGCACGGTGATAAGGCCGGTTATCGTGGTACATACTGAGAAACGCGACGTTCTTCCTACACTCAAACAAGGTCGATACGTATTGCAAGGACACATAATCATAGATTAATATCAACATACTGTAGCATGGCGACAATTCAAGCAGCGGTGGTAAGGACTCAAGCGCGTTAAAAAGAGAAGGACAACCTAAAAAAGAGAATTTCCCCGGCGACAGCATCAACAAAACACAACCACAGGCAAAAACTATATGTCAGCGATACAGGATATCACCATGAACCCAAATAGCCTCCAATGGTGAACAAGCAAAAAATGAATCACTCATAACATCCAACAAAAGTCGAGAACCTCTTTCCAGGCTCGTATTCGAACACGTCTCAAAAGTTCAGTGGAGCATAAGGATGCTCGGGAATATGAATTTGGGGTACACATAAGTATCTACTAGAGCCTGTAGCATAGGTAGGCAATAATTGCCTGTCGGTTTCAGTCCAGTCTGTGTTGTTAAAAAGTCCCGAATCGGGATGGGAGAAACTTGAGCTCTAAGAGAAGGGAGATGGAGAACATATATGAGAGAAATAGTCCCCATCTGGGTCGTAGTTATCAACCTTCCGCCGTCATCCGTCCGGATTCATCGTGATCCACCATCATACAATCTTCCGAAGTATCTTCGAATGTTGATTGAAATCTGCATTGTTGTGAAATTCTTCACAGACACTGACGTTGGAAACTTTGGTGGGACTGGATAAGTCCGAGTCTCTTCTGGTTGAGTAGACATTCGCTGCTTCGTTGTGAGTCTCTTCAGATTTCACCGTTGAAGTTGAAACCTGGCCCATGGATAGTTTGGTGAGATCCCTGGCAAAAGCGACAACCCCATCACTCATAGACCGAGAGTCTTCATCACCATCACTATCCATCCGCCTGTTCAAAAGGATATCTTCAACCTTCTCGTCTGTCTTCATCGCCAGACTCGAAATGGTCTTCGTTACTCCGATTATTCATAGGGTCGGTGGTGGAGATAGGAGGAAAGGAAATTATAGTGGCGATGGCGAGTGGTAGTGCAACAGAGCGGTCGTCAGGTACCAAGCGGGGAAGGGATGTTCTATTGATGAATCGTTCCAAAGGCAAGATATGTTTCTTCCAAAAGTCGCAGAAATGAGAGCTGCGAGAAGGAGAAAAGTCGTCGAGCTTTGAGAGATGCCCAGAGAACAGACGCGACGAGTTATAATTCTCAGATTCCAAATGATAATAATGGTCGACAGCAATGAATGAGGACCAAAGAGGGGAGGAGCGACACACTAGAATAAGCCGCTCAAAGTCAATACTAGAAGAAATTGGAAAAATCAGCAGTGACGGTGCACAAGCTTCAACATAATGAAACACTCAAGTATATATACAAAACGACACCCGAGAGACTTGGATATGGCGGTTTTTGTTGACCATCGAATGGTGTTAGGTCGCTGGTTTGGAATGGGACTCTAAGTGAGGTTGCAATATCGAGTACTTTTATAGCGGTCTCCAGCAGATTGAAGACTTACCAGAATATTGCGAGGATGATGATTGCTGCAAGTATAGCATCCCTGACCGGGATACATGAGGTAAAAGAGAAAAAACTGTTGTTATTGAACGTTGAACGTTGACCAATGGCTCCACTAGAAATACCGCGTTCCTTGGTCTCTTAACTGCATATTTGTGCCTTTGAATTGTTGAGCTACATCAAACTTGTGCGACAGAGTACGACAATTGCTTGAAATGAACCTACCACGAAAGTCCTTATTGTTAACGTTGCGATGTTCGTCAGATTCGAATTCTCAGAACGATAATCAGCAAAACTCATCTACAGTAAATCAACGAAACAAATTCGACATACCTTCATTTAGATGATGTGGACAGATTCATAACTTCGACTGACGATTCTTTGAGAGAGTCCCAGATATGCCATGACTTGGTGCAAAATAAAAGGCTTCGCCGACCGACTCGGACTCGGAAGTGCCAGTTTCTCAGTTTCTGTCGAATGTGGGTTGAATGGTATTGCATGGCTGACTTCTGCATGCTGATATGGCCGAGTCGTTAAGGCGAGTGATTTGAATACGTTCAATTATCACTTGGGCATTGCCCGCGTAGGTTCAAATCCTGCTGTCAGCGGATTCTATTTTATCATAGCTAATCCTCTACTGAATCCTTGACTTTCGTGTTAATTTTGAGTGAAAGAATAATTATTTTTTTCTTTAAAAGGGTTTGTCCTGACATTCCCAATGTTCTTTTAATTAGACATGTGGCCAAAACAAGATTTTGAAAGAGAAAGCGACAATATATAAGATATGCTTGGATGGCTCAGTTGGTTAGAGCGCAGGTCTCATAGCTTTACGTTATGATCAAAGTGATTCTTTGAGTAATCCTGAGGTCGTGAGTTCGACCCTCACTCCGAGCATTGTATTGTGAACGCGATATGTTTTGTAGTTTGTCTCGGATTCGCTATTGAAATTTATGTTGGGTTCAAGAAACGGGATTGAAATGTACATTACATTGGAGGCACGACAGTGTAGAAGGGCGTCGGGCACTCCGAGGCTTATTTCTCTGCTAGAGCATTGATCACATCAGCAGTTAACCCCACGTGATCGCGTCAAATAACGTACCATTTGCGGTTGAGCGACTCGTTCCATGCGGCTGTTGTGCCCAGTATGGGGAAGACGCGTCCGAATCGGGAAGGTTAGCAAGTTCCACGGTGGGGACGCACCTCTTGCCAGGATGCCCCTATCGAATTAGGAGGTCGATTGACTTTTGCAGCGAGTATCGACTGATTGATGATTGTTGCAGCTTTCTGCCTAATTATGGCCCGTTCACGTCCAAGAATCCGCCTCCCTGCTAGCCGTGGTCTTTTCTTTTCTTTCTGCCTCATTTGCACTGACAGCTCCTCGATTTGCCAGCCTTCTTTAACTGCTCCCACCTCTTTCTTCGGGTGCTTCCAGTCTCCCACCATTCTTAATATCTCTCCTCGCTCACGACCCTCGTTGTCAATCTCTCTCTTTGACCACCACACTCATTTACAATGTCCCGCCCAATCAACCTCCAACGTCCTCATCCCTTCTCCCTACAAGACTTTCAACAGCTTGTTTCTTCCGCATTTGACTCTAATGCTGGTCTCGCCGACCTCTCTCCCCTTTCAGATGCGTCCGAATTATCAGACTCCCCGTTCGCATTCAACTCGCCTAGTTCTTTTGACAGCGAAAGCGACGACGAAGACATCCAACAGGGCCACGGGCCCGCATCGGATCTCCTGCGCTCTGAAACAGCCAAGGCTCCTTTGCGCAACCCTCTAAACCTCTTCAAGTCCATCAGAACTCGCGCATCAACTCTCCTTCGCTCCTACAGTTACAGTTCACCATCTGATTTTGACCTTCATTCCATCTCTGAAACCTCTCTTCCTTCAACTGCACGGCCCTCAACCTCTTCTCGCACAGCTCTTGACAATATTCAACAACCCAGACCTTCCACTTCACATTCTATCACTTCCAGGTCCTCTTTTGCCTTCAGCCCTTTCGACCTTACCCATGCTCTCTCTCGTTCCAGATCACAATCTCTACCCAGATCATTCCTTGATATTTCAACCTCAAGCAGGCAAACTCCCATGGTCTCGCAGTCGATTCAGCCTTATTCGTCTTTCTTTGACGATTCGGCTTTGAATCCTCGTCACCCTGTTCCTTCTTACGCCCGCCCCAGTACACCTGCATCGCGGTCAAAGTTACATATTCATACTCGTCTCCCTCCCCTTCGAAAGTCCAGATCATATGCGCTCACTTCGTTCACCAATTCCTCTCGCAAGAGAAACTCTTCGAAGACGTCAGACATACCGCAACCGCCGTATTCAGCCCCTATAGGGACAACTGGTTTTGGCTTCGCTGTGTCTCTTGATGACCCTGTGGATCCACTCGATCCGTCTTGCACTCGCAGCCCTTTCTCGAGTCCGAGAGCGCCCCCTCCAATTCCAACAAATATCGAGCCTACCCTCCATGTTCCGGCGTATGTCTTTGAAAGGCGAGGAAGCGCTACGTCGACTAACACAACGGTATGTTATTTTTTATCGGATACACTTCAACAACGGCTGATTATCGCATTAAGTCAAGCACCAGAACAATCTCAACGTTGGGAGACAGGATTTCCCAGGCGTTCTCTGGGTCAATGGCTTTGCCTTTTTCAAAGTCTCAGTCGCGATCGAAATCATCTCTGTCACTCTTTTCACCGCGTTCCATGGCGTCTCCCTGCTCACCACTTACTCCAAATTCGATCATTTTCCCCAGTAACTATAGCCTCGTACAAGATAATAGCGCATATCCTTCTTCCAACGTTTCGAATCCCAGCAAAGTCTCATTCGTGGAGACTAAAGATGAGATATTAGCAATTGGCCGAGTATTGACTCCGGAAGACGATCCGTTCGCTAAACCTGAGCTTGTCTATGAAGAGGATATCACTCCTCGTGCCATGCTCGACTTGCGAGGCAGTCCCAACCGTGTTCATCGTGGATCTCTTCAAGAGGACACGCTCCGCAGGACTCCCGATCAGTGGCCTCCGAGACGAGGAAGTGCGGTGGCGCCTTCCAGAGCCGACAGGATGTCGATGAACCAGTTTTGCTCTCCATCACCGGCCTATATGTTCCCTTCTGCTGCTTACTCTTCGCCGAACGCAACACACTCTTTACCTCCAACTCCAACTCGCGGACTCCGGAACTCTCCATCAACTTGGTCTCCGCAATCAAGTCCAGGAGCAGCTCGCCGTGGTTCCGCCCCCTCAACTCTTTCTTTCCCCATGCCCCCACCCTTACCGCAACATCTTACGCGTCATCGTTTTTTGTTACCGAATAAGCCTCTTCCCAGGTTACCTACAGAGTTTGACCAAGTGACCGTGGATTGGTCTGACGATGAAGATCTATCCCAGGAAGACATCACTTTAGTCTCCTGTACTCCACCGACACACTCGAGGAGACGTCAAGTCACTTCCTTGTCACCGTCATTCAAACCCATCTCCGAGCGGCCACCCTCACCTTTCCCACTTGTCGATAATGGGATTCACCGTTCTCATAGGGCTGAGCCTGAATTCCAAGACGAGGGATACTCTGAAAATGACGATGAAGTTATTTTCAGTAATCCTTGGGGTACATCTGGAGTCCGTGATCGCTCAAACGCAGTATTCGCTTGGTCGGTGCCTGCGGAGAATTCGATTCTTGACAGGTTTTCTACTCCAGCCAAGGAGACAGTCGAAAGTCTGGTAAGTGTCACCTTGTTCTCTACGATTCTCAACCGCTAAGATGACACGTATTCGCGATTCTCAGCGAAGTCTATCTCCGATACCCAAGTCTCGATTCAGTTTAGACACAGATGAGGACGACCAACGAAGATTGTTAGTTCAGCAGCATGCCAATACTTCTGCAAGTATTCCTAATGGGGAAGAGACAAGTGTACACGCTCGGTCTGTCTACGCTTCTCATATGAGGCAGTGGTCGGATTCTACTGGAGCATGTAGTAGTCGATGGGGTCACCGAAGCAGCGAGTCGCGATCTACTGCATTTTATAGCGCTAGATCTAGCATTTGCAGCGAAGGCAGTGGGCTGGATGTATTCGAAGGGCCTCAAGAGTGATTTTTTTCCCTGGAAGGTTAGTGCTTCTCATTCCTCAATCTCTGCTGTGTTCACCTTCCCTGATTAAATTATTTCGTATCAGTCTGGATATAAGCTACTGCCCACTTTTTGGAACCTCTTGCAATCTCTGGTGCGCGTTATGTTACATTGTTATTCATTCGAGGTGCTGCCGGAGATGGAGGATAACTTGGACCTTTCTTTTGTTATTTCTTGTGCATTCCGCATCTCCAGCTATCGAGCGTTACCTTACTCTCTCTTTCGATTAGTTCATACATTTTTGCATATACCCAAGCCAAGGTGGCTCTTCGTAGGCCTTCCTCATGTTTGTTACCCTCATTCGTTTCCTCCCTTTCGCACATCCACCCTCTCCTTTTCGGTGTACTTCTTCCTCCGGTCGAGTTTGGAGCTTTTGCTTTCTCATCATTGTTGTCCCCAAGTTTTTCACTGCAAGTCATTCGTCAGCGTACTATCGTACGTCCGATTGGTTACTTTTCCTTCGACTCCGAGCCGCATGCGAATAGTCACATTTTTTAAATCTCGAACGTTCGCATTGACGGTTGCAGGCAGAGAGGTCCGAGTCCCTCGCCGGCGGTAACTAGTATCCCGATCACATCGTACATAACCTTTTCTTCTTTTGTTTGAGTCGAATTGACTTGTGCACATTTTTGTAGATGGCAGTGTTCAAACATTCATTTGTTATGGTAGTTGTAGTACTAGTATTGTAAGTTAGTGTATTCTAAAGCAATATTTAATGTATACCGTCCGCTTCGAACTAGTCATGCACGAATTTCCGTTCGCAAGTTTCGGATCCAGAATGAGTGCTTTTATTCGTGCTTTTCACTGTTCAATCATCGTAATGAATAGAGGATGATGATGATGATGAACTGAGGTGCTCACCTTTGAGGATTCGAATGTGATTTTGTATTATCATCCGACGGCGCGGAAGCTGTGGATACAAGAGTATCTTCAACTCCAGGTAACTTTAAGGATTTTAATCTAAGCTTCCACTCCTTTCCTTTCTCCAGGATCAAATTCTTCTCAGAATGATGAATCACATCATGCTCCTCTTCCAAATAATTTATAAATCTTGCTTTATTCTCATAAAACGTTGAACAAGTGCTCTCCGGAACATCTTTCGAAACACAATCTATGATGATATCGACCAATTTTCCTGTTTTTTCGATGAATTTTGGATTTGGATAATGATGAATGAAAGTTTCCAAATCGTCGAAAAGGCCTAGAAGGAATGGGATATAACAAAGTTGGAATTCGAAGAGTGTTCCGTCGTAATCACATAGACTATTTTTTTCTAGACATGATTGGAAGGTTTCGAATAGGAGTTCATTGATGGATTGGTGAATTGTATGAAAGTGTTCTTGGGGTATGTTGGGAAGAAGAGTGAGTCTGAGAGCTTGACGACAGCTTGTATAGAAGATGGGGATGTTTGCTTGGGCTGATGAACATTTCGTTAATGTGTGAGTTAAGGATTTGAACACTAATAGTAATAATTGAACCATATATCCGTCAGCCTTTCTAATTTTTGAGACTATATACATATACGGTAGCACGTACCATTGAGATCAAATTCCATCTCTTGAGTGGGACGGTAAAGCCATGAAATGATCAAGGTGTTGTTGAGCGTGTATAGCAGGTCGGTGATAGGTTCTGGTGGATCGTGAGGAGTAGTATCGATATCGCAAGTATCATGTGAAAGATGTTCAGCGATTCGACTTTGAATACAACGATATCCAATGAGAATGTCACGATCGGGGGTTAGAAATTTGTGTTTGAACGTCTTG